TTGCAAAGGTACATGCTTGCACTTGTCGGTCTATCAATTGAAAATAATTTTCTATTAAGGCCGGTATAAGTTTCATTTCAAAATAACTATCGCTACAAATTATCTAAATCCAGCACCAACATGTCGCCAAGTGTAAAGAGTCCCTCGTCAATTCCGGCTTCGGTTAATCTGTGCTCGATGCGGATTGACAGCCTTTGCACAAGGCTAATTATTGCCGTTCTGTTTACGATTAAGATAAAATCCAAATTGACGTAATTAGTCTCTTACGTTCACATAGGTGTGTAATAGTGTTGCGTGTTTATCACTCATTATAGGTTTGTTATCACAATATGACTTGACACGCTTCATGGTCACTGTTGGTGAAATTACAGGCACATGTGACTTTTTTATAATATCAAGCGACGGGACGAACAACATGTGACATGTAACATGTGACTCTCAACTTATGTCTTAGGGTGACGAACGCAGTGGCAGTGACGCAGTGGCAATCTTTGTGATTTAAAGCTTTGAGTGGCACTGCAACTGCTATGGACAGGCGTGTCGCTCACCACCAGCCCCGCGACTTGTTCGTCACTTGGTAGCGTAAAAAAATAACGACGAATAATGCCATGTAATCATTCCGAAATTTCGTGAAAATAATGAGAATCTTCAAGGAATTGTGAATTTCCCGACCAAAGCAATTGAAACTACTTTTCCGGATTTAAATCGCGAAAATTTGTTTTTTCAAACAAACCGAAGTTTCGGGCCCTTGACAGGTCCCATGGTCACGGTTGACTGAGGTGGTAGAGTCCCAGTTATGTCTAATATTGACGCAAATCACCCTATTTTTTTCACTATAGTCACAAGTTATTAATTGAATACCATATTGTTAATTTTACAAAGAAACATTTGAAATTACCGCTACATTAAGTTTTACAAATTATTTTATTGAATGAATTTTTGTTAAGTTCAATTTTTTATTAACTAATAATAGAAATTAGAATAAACTAAACCATATTAATTAGTACTGCAGTCTGTTTGGGATTTTTAATCAGAGGAAATACTGGATCATAAACTGGTGTATTTATATTGTCCAGTATTTTCTCTGGACAATTTCTAATTTCTATTATTAATTAACAATAAATTGAACTTAATAAAAATTCGTTCAATAAAATAATTTATAAAACTTAATGTAGCGTAAATTGGAAAGTTTTCTTTGTAAAATTAAAAATAAGGTATTTAAATAATAACTATTGTAACTATAGTAAAAAAAAATAGGGTGGTTTTAATGGGGGTATTAATGCAATATTAGATATAACTAGTTGAACAGTGTACCACCTCAGTCAACCGTGACCATGGGACCTGTAAAGTGTCCGAAACTTTGGTTTGTTTGAAAAAATAAATATACGCGATTTAAATCCGGAAAAATAGTTTCATTTCCTATGTGTAACAATCGCGAAAACCTAATAACTCGACATGTTCCCGACCAAAGTTAGGTCAGCGTGAGGGACTTTGACATTAACCCTCTTTCTACTGACATTTGCGTCAGCTTTTTAAAATGACCTACTGCAATCTAGATTTGGTTAACCCGGTATGCCCGTCGAGATCCACCTTTCGTCACACTTCCGTCTAAATTCGCTTCGCTCTGTGTTGTTGGTCTTCAATAATCTGTCTTCTTAATGTCCATTAAGTAACCCCTTAGCGGTCAAAAAAAAAAGATAATTATTATAATATCTCGTAAAGCTACCCTCTGCGAGATGCCGATCATTTAATAGCTGTTAATGGCGCCGAGTCGATTACGCCGGTCTGGATTTGGATCGGGCCTTCGGCTCAAGCGACTACAAGCGATTAGTAAATTAACTAGCGTTATTGGGTTGGGGAGCATGAAAATTTCAAGTACTTTTTTCTTTTAAGAAATTTGTTTATTAAATTTGTATTGAATTGATGTTCAATTTTTTTTGTGAAATTACCATTGACTTACAATTATATGGACGTCGGGTCCGCGCTAAAAAGTGTCCGCACTTGTAAGGCGCTAAAATCGTATACAGAGCGCCAAACTCCGCTTTAGTCTCCATTTGTTCGACTGACAGCGCGATACTGCGATGATATTACAATTTAAATTTCGAATAGGTTGACTTGGGACATTTTTTTCGTGGTTTTTGTATTAGACCCGTCGTCCATTTATTTGTAAGCCAATGGAAATTACTCCATTATTTTGTTATAATTATTAATACAAAGATCGAACACTTAGGCAAAATTCCTTCGTGAGGTCCGCTAGGTCGTTCCATGGCCTACTTGGCATAGCGTCTGACACGGTTTGCTAGAAGACGTCGGTTCGAATCAGGTCGGACCGAAGGAATTTTTTCTAAGTGTTCGATCTTTGTATTAGTAATTATAACAAATTTGTTTATTGTTTACATCAGTCCAATTACTTGTGGAGCTATTTGGTAAAGGTAAGAGCATGTTTAGACATTGTGTATTTTAAGCATTTTCCAATTCGCTGTCGGTCTGAGCCGATAGGGGGAAAACATAAATTAAAATCGAATTGTGTAACCTATTAACCAGATAATCTTGCTAACGTCCAACCGATTCACAAAGAATGTAGTTCAACTTAAAATAAAACGAAGAGCCGTAGAACAAACGTGAATGCACTTAATTACAACAGACCAGAAACAATTACTTTTAATGTTTTTGCATTCTTACCACGCCGACGCCTCTCGCTCTTTCTCTTTTTCGCAATGAACGGCGAGGACTTACCTGAAAGAAACAGAAACTTGGTAAATTGATTCTGCTAGATTAGATGTTCGAAAATACTTTAATTAAAAATAGCACGGTGTATTTTAATGAAGTGGAACTGGTTGTCAACCCACGTACAAGCCCGGGTCTGACAAGCCTCGACACGACACATCGAAGGATGGGGAAAGGGTTGTGAGTCGTAGTCCACTCTGCACGTCATCGAAGGGTTCCGTGGGTCATCATGCGACGTAAATAAGTGATTAATAATTTAATGAGTTTAGAAAAGGCTGCGACAGAGAGTGAAATCTGGTATCAACTAGCCCTGTGACGACTAACTTTGGGTTACCTATCAGTAGTCCGAAACGACATTTTCCAGAAATAACGTTTGCAATTTTCATAACCTCGAAAGTAATTTTGAGAGGAAAATGTTTTTTTCTTTTAAACCTAACTTAACCTAACCTAAACGAACCAAATCGTGTCTTTGCGATAAACATTCAACATATCTTGAAAGAACAACGGTTTCGTTATGATTCGGTTTTCGGTGTAATGAAAATTCGAACAAATGTTATGTCGGTAAAAAATCGAGTTTGTGATAGGTTACCCTAACTTTGAAGTTAGTGTTGCGGTTGCATTTTATTATTTAAATATTCTGGAATAATAATAATAATAATAACGCTCACAATCAACATAGCCCCGCACTAGGGAAACCCCGTGTCGCGGGTGCCATGGACACACACATAGACAACCACAAATTACACCCAAACTCACGAGAGAAATAAATGTAGGCCATACAAATATTTCTCCCGGCCCGGGAATCGAACCTGGGACCTCTGCGTGGCAGTCCGGCATGGTAACCGTTCGGCCACGGAGGCAGTTAAATATTATCATTATCGTGTATTTTTCGAGTGCAGTATTTATTATTCGTCGTGAATTTTTTTCTATAATTTAGCATTTCACGATAATATAATACAATACTTAAATCATTGACTTACAATTATATTAAATAATAAAAATTGCTACCGAAATTTGGTAGTTTCTGAGGTTTTTTTGTTGAATATTTAAATAGAAATGTACGTACGCATTACAAATTCGGTATTTATCTGACGAGAACAGGTACTGCACACAATTTTAATGCTTTTTACTGATTCTAATTAATGATTTGAATGCTATTTACTTATTTAAAAGTGGCGATGGAAGCTTTACATCTCATAAAACAACAGTAAGTGCGCGGGACATAGTGTCAAACCCAAGTAAGCCCAATAATAACGTACGGCTGAGGATTAAACCCTCTCATTCATCGTATAGCATTTAAAGTCGTTCCACACCATAGAAAAAGTGAAAACGTTTTTTTACCTCTTAATGTTAGGGTATTTCACAATCCTTTTGCTACAAATACGATTCTAAACAGTTAAAAGAAAGAGCAGTTTGTTTATTAATAAATTTAAAGACAGAAATAAAAAAAACTGCTCGGGAACCCCTCCCGTCAATGTAAACAACAATTAAAATACGAAACAATAACAGGCCCCAGATCCCACACCTTGTAGCAACAAAGTGAAGTTGTTGTACTTTTTTACATCGAGGAAGAAGTTTCCGTTGAAGAAACCTTTACTACTAGTCATGTACATCGTCGCCCCGGCGCGGCGCCCTCGTCCCCGACGGCGGAGGGGTAAAGGTAATCGTCGATCGAATTGCATTTATATTTAATCGAAAGTGGGTCGATACAAGAGCGTTTACTTTCAAGTTCTATTGTCATAGGTTAGTTATTACTATTTCGTTTGCTATTTTTAAACCTTCTATAATTTACAACTGTAATGATACGACGAAAAAATATTGATTTATCAAACGATAACTTTTTGGGTAACTTTGATAGTCCAAGTGACATTTCGAAAAAAGGCATAAATTATAAAAAAGGTGAACTAACTGAAACTTTATACGTGGCAATTCCGACACAAACGGGCAAATTAAAAAAGGTACAAATACAGACTCAGACATTTTCCTTTTCAGGGCCATTAAAATATTGCATAATAATAAGTCATTTGGAGACGAGATAACTACGATGCAGTGTTCTGAACAAGTCTTTTAAAAAACAACAAAGAGGCAAGCCTCGTTAATAATTCAACAAGTTGAATATTAAGGCGAAAATATTTGTTGAACAAATTTCGGGCGTCCCACTAACCGCCATTGTGTCGGCACCGTGCTCAATTGAGTGTGGGCAAGTGTTTGCCTTACCTCACCTCGAGCCCCGATGTTTTTCCTTTCGGTATATATTGCTCTTTAGCACTGACGCCTTTTAGTTTCGTTCAGTTACGTATATGTGGTGAATTTAAAAAAAAGTGCCAGAAATAACGGTTTTTGTAATTACGTACTTATCGCTTATAGAACAAGTCAAAGTGCATCCTTTTCATATATTTATTCACGTAAAGATAAACCTGTTCTTTCGTCTGAATATTACTACTTGTAGTGAACTTTGACGCGGTTAGTTCGCCACGTAACAACCAAAAACAAGCAGTCTGACTAGAATAGTTTTGAATCTTCTTATATATTTTTTAGTGCGTAACAGGTTCTTTGAGAACTTCTGAAAATGTCATAACTTTATAATAGCACTTACTAACGTCAACTTATATTTAATTAATAAAAATTATAACAATATTTAAATACACACTGTAATAATAAAAAGTACCTACGCGTGTTTTTTGTTGCAAGCAATAAGCGTTAATTAATTAAGATAACGGTGGCTCACCGGCTCAATTAATTTTGCAGTTTGCAGCCGGCGCGGGCGCGCAATTCGCTATTGTCGTCGGCAAGACAAATGTACGACGTTTGTACTTACATAATGTGTATTTATTGCTTAATATGATAATACGTCAATAACTAATACATACCTAATTATTTATTTCTGCATAAGAAATATCGAAATGTTGCACTTTCACTCGAACGAAAGCAAAATGTTGGCAGTGCTTTTGCAGTAACACACTTTAGGTTAATAGAAACACTGTGAACGTATATATTTTGTGGCGAAGTTGCATGAAATTGCAAAAATTGCAAGTGTTAAGTCTTTAACTGTCAACACCGCGCGTGCGATTTGCGATTATAAATTTTGTGTTGACGATTTTAGAAAAGAGGAACATAATTAATTGTAGGTACATAAGAGAACCCTATGTGCTCAGAGGGATCCCGAGGCGATCAATGCCTTTGAAGTTCCTTCCATTCAAATGCGGTCACCTAAAGGGACGGCCTAGTATTGATATGTTTGGATTTTGTTCCAAAATCTCTTTGATATTTTATTACTTTCGATCGGTCATCGGGTCGTGTCTGTAGAGTTAATGTCGTGTTTGTACCCGTCTTGGGGTGTGCACATTATTTTAGTTGACTTGTTGCAAGCACGGAACACAAAAGATCCATTTATTCTTCTATAAAATTTTGGCCCAAAACATGTACCTCAAGTACTATTAAATATTATTCAATAAATAGCTAGCGAATTCATAAAAAAATAAAATAGAATTTATCAATCACTTGTATCAAAATCATCGTTCGAACATACGAATGACTGGCAACACAATAATTATACATATATTATAGCAATGCATACATACTTCAAATCGGGTACCCAGCTATCGGGATTAAATAAAAAATAGGTCTAATCGTCTTTTGAAGGTCTATAAAAAATACTTTACTAATTCTTTTATAAGTTATTAAATACAAGTCCATTATTATATTATTACAATATCTAATATTTGGCTAAAAGACTATATCCCAAGCTGTTAATCTCTGTTTAAATGTCACGTAATGACCCGGTTGACATGTCCGTCATAGAGATTTTTTTCTGTGCTTGATACGTGTCTGTGGACTATTACTATTTGTGTTTTTGATATATTCATGGCTGACTTTTGGCTATTCCGGATGTTCTTTCCATCGAACCCCGAGAGGATGGAAAAAATAAAATCGAACCCGATTATTAGCTGTAAGCAAGTGTGTTGACAGCTGTCAAATCATGACAACTCACGTTTCGTCGAACGGAATGTCGTTTATAAAATTGTAGAATTACATTTTTCAGAAATCTGTTGAAATTAAAAAGATTTCAATTAATGGACCCTTTCCTACACAATTTTAGATTTTTTTAACGTAATTTGTACCTCATTTGACAATTTGGATCAAAACTGAAAACCTCCTTTCAGTTAGGAAATATATAAATGCAGGTTTATGAAACAAGATCGCATTAGAAGTGCACGAGTACAAACAAACATTGCACGTGTACGCCTTTGGCTTGTTTATTGCAGTGTTATAATTATTACTATATATTAATTCACGGAGTAGGTAGAGATACGTATAGAATCAAATAAACCGATACATCTAATTTGAAGAAAGTATTTCCGGTGAAATGTTGTTGCTTCCGTTGTTCGTCGCAGTGATTGCCACGCAAGGTAAGAATTTTTCAAAAGTATATTTTTTACTATTTCAAAGGAATGTAGTTTTAAAAGTTTTAATATTATTTTGTTCCTTATACGTCGAAGAGATTTCTCCCTCTTTTTTTATTTAATTACTGACCAATATTACATATAATACTGTTCATTAATGATCTATTGGGATTGGTTAGCAGTGATTGTCTAGCATAATATTATGCCGATGATATAAAGATTTTTGATAAAATCGCAGAGACTACAGATTGTGTAAGGCTGCAAAGGGATATTGAAATGCACTCAGGTTGGTGTCGAAATAATAATATTATAATGTTAGCAAGCGTCATCTACTGACATTTACACGTAAAAAATCCTTTGCATTATACATATGAATTTAAAATATAAATAATGTGGAATGCAAACGCGGGACAGTAATAAAAGATCGGGAAGTGTGAATTGATTCCAATCTCTCTTTTAGACAGCATTATGACTTATGTAGTGTCAAAGTGTAATAAAACTATGGGTTTTCTAATGAGATCTGTGCGACCGTTCAGAGATCCAAGCAAGCAATTGTTGTTTTGTATAATGCGTTGATTCGAAGTGTTCGAGTTCCGTGATTTGATCTCCATTTACGATCGACGTAAAAATATGATCGAATCTATACAGAAGCGTTTCTTTTGACATTATAACGGCACTAAAATGGGTTTAAGACGTAGGCTTTCATCATATAAAGATAGGTTATGATATTTTAAAATCATCTTAGAGAGTAGACGCTTTTCGCACTGTTTTGCTGTGTTATATAAATTAGTCACCTCGTTGCGGGATGTTAGTGAATTGTTAGATCAGGTTGGGCTTCTGATTGAAAGAAACCGCACGCAAAAACTTTTTTATGTGCCAGTAACGACATACAACGTGTCGTACAATGATCCGTTGTTTCGTATGTGCCGGAATTTTAATAAGGTTAGCATATATCTAGATTCCACAGACAGGTAGATGTATTCCACCATCTCTAATAGTAATATCTTTTATCAAGGGACTAAAACAAGTCAATATATATCCGAGGCTTAGCGAGGGTGTCTATTACTCCGAGAGTTTTTATTGGCTTGTAGTCTTTATGTGAAAACTGTGATTTTCACTGCGATTGCGAGAAAAAAAAATTCAATCATTTAAGCTTTACAACAAAATCAAGGACCAAAATTCTGAAGTTTTCGCGGTACTTTTTTCCAATCGGACACAGATACAACAAACGCAACAAAACACCACGATTAGCGGCCTTTGGCAATCATGAGCGTCTTTCGACGATTTAAGTGCCACGTCGCGTCACTAAAATGGTCCATACATAAATGCATAAACGTGGGAAAATAATATGGTGTCACCGTCTATGCGGAAGAGACACGGAATTAAAACCGAGAGCAGTCTTAGAACGTAACATTTTTGTAATTGTGGTTTTGTAATGTAGACCATTTTGTCTACAAGCACTTTTTGATTAAATTTTTTTTAACATACTAACTTTGATTTTCTTTTTTGTTTTTGTGATTATTTTTATGTGTTGTTTTTGTAAATTATTTTGTTTCACTTATTGAACTACCTTTAGGCACAAACTAGAGCAAGTACTAGCTGATTGAGTTTGTCTGGGTCACTACGTAAGGCTGCACTGACGTGTTTTATACCATGAGAAGTGAAGAATTATTTATAGCGTCTATGAGGTCTCACAACTAGGTTTATCATTAATTATTTATTATTATTTTTTAAGTCCGATATTTGACTAAATCAATTTCATTTCAATGTTGTGTACAATTTAAAAAAAAATCTCATTTGTTCCAAGCTAAAGAGTATTATAGTATTAAATTAGTATTAAGTATCGTACATGGCTTAAGAATGGTCACTGTGGTTAAATAAATAAATAAATTAATTACAAATTAAATAAAAAAGCGCATAGCGGATTGGGCGCATACTTCCATTGTCATATTATTGTCAATTACGAATGTTTTATTTTCAGCCCTCCCGTAACGCTGTCGATGTTTTGTAAAAAATACCTCATTTCCTTCACTGAGCATTATTTACAAAATGAAATAAATGAAAGTGACAACAATGAACTGCTCAGCTTGAAAACAATTTTTATGTTTGTTGTGTACGACGTACGTTCTGCTCCATTACAGTCACTTGAACAGAACATCCGGTACATGAACCATTAGATGTACAATAATAGTAGGTATTATATTAACTTTAATTGCTTTATTATTATTTAATTTGCGTACTACTCGTTCGTATGTATTCTATAAATACGTTAAGCTCGCAAAACGCCGAGGAAATTTGACAAACAAACCGCAATTTCCGTAAGTAGTATTACAAAATGAGAGGCATATTCAAAGGCAGGGAAGACTGAACGGGATTGTAAAAACGGCCGGGGGCCGAGAATCTGTTTAGGGCCGTTCCAGATTTGGTTGCGGTAATCCCGCCGAGCCGGAGATGTACCCTTGAGTTACCATGCTTTAAAAATTCTCGGTATCACCTTTGTTTTCACTTTTCAGATTAATTACTCTTTGGCAAGCACGGGCATCCGTCCGACCACGTTAGTGACGGTCCATCGGTAGAACGGTCAATCATTAAATCCACATATACCTATAATATAAACTTGTAGATCGTTTACATTACTATATAATATTGTGTTCATATTGTACTGTTGACTCCAGCCTTTACAGACAACAAATGTTTTAGTTTACAACATATTGTTATATCTAATATTGTTACAGAGTTGCTTGTGAAGGAAATAAAGATTATTATTATAATATTGTCTATTTATGTATAATACATTTATGGTAGGTCTATATAATAAGTGCTATTATTTAATTATTTTGCAATATTTAGCCTCGCGGATGTACTCTCTTCGCCACAGCTAGGGTTGGTTAGAAGAGATTTCTTCTAGATATGGCGTGTAGCGCGTGTGATATCGTAACAAATGATGATAAATAGTGTTATTGTTAATAATTGGATTGTTGTGCTATTATGTACTATCGGATTATGATAATGGAGTCCCAGTGGACGCGGATCGGGCCGTGCGCGCTCTTCTCACCGGATCGCGGCTGCGTGTGCGGACGAGCGATTGGGATAACTTAATTTTCCGCTAATAATCGCCTTAATTATTGCGCTTCACTAATTTCACTGCCCTTTTACGCGAGTCCTTGGGCTTGCGAAAAGGTTTTGGGACACAATTTAAGAGGTGCCGGCGGCGCCGCAAAAAATTTTTTTTTAAATTCCCGTACCTTTTTTTAAACTATTATTTAGGCAAAGGCGAAAGCGATGCCTCAAAAACATCTCATCTGTCACATTAAGCAGCCGCCATGTCGGCCGTCACGTCTTTTTCTTTTATTATTTATCGTCTCAAGTAATCTTTAAAATGTAAAAATGTGTCTGAAAGGTTTATTTCCATTTTGGTGTTTAGTTACAATTTTTAAGAAGTAAATATTTGTTATGTTACGTATTTCTGTTTAGTAATAGTCAGCGAACGAAGTTTTTTTAATATGGTTGTTAATAAGTTTTACAATACGTTTTTTAAAGCGTATGCCTACTCGAGAATTTGCACGGCGCCCGACTTACCCCTCGGACCAGAAAACTATTTCTAGCTCAAGCAGTTAGCTCTATTTTACAACTTAGATTCGAAACAACTTAAAGTTTTATGTGGTGTGTGGAGTGGATGTGGATGTGTGGATGTGGAGTGTATGTCTAAGATGTGACAGTGTAGGTGATGTATTTGCTTACCTAGTGTGTGAGTGGCAAGTAGGTTTCACGCGAAGTTTATGAGAGGGGTGTAACAAGAACTTAACGACTGATTGAATGTTTGTATATTGTCAAAGAGTTATTCAATTAATTGTAAAAGTATAAAAAATGTCTAACACACTCCAGCCATCTTGCTGGAATCTCATTTCTTTCTTTGCGGTACGATTGTAGTGTCTTACACTTCAGACAGCAGAAATTGCTGTATTAGTTAGGAAAATATTCCATTAAATTCAAGACATTGTAAAGCACTTTGCTCAATTAGGAAAAGGATGTTACGGTCGGCTAAGACTCCAAGGTTTGGACCTTGTCGCCCAGTGGTGGGCCGAGTGGTGGGCCGATTGGTGGGCCGAGTGGTGGGCCGATTGGTGGGCCGGGTTGACAAACGGCCATTAGTTCGGTGAAATTAAAGGGCGTAAACTCAACTTTTTATCCCCGTGGTTTCAAACAGCCTGTGAAGAAGACTTAATGTAAGTAGATTTCAATTTTTGCTTGAATTCAATTCAAGGTTGAATATGATTTCAAGCGATCTATAAAAGTCGAATACGAATACACGAGGCCCAATCTTTTTATGAACATGCGCAATCGGGATTTGTTTAAGAAATTGCAAATTTTTACATTAGCAAAGTCGACGGCCCCGAACGATTGTACACGCATATAATTCCACTAGAAAAACGTTTAAATGTTTAACCTTTTTTCATAACAAACGGAAACGTTTTTTACAGTGTCATTTTATGTTAAACCGTTTACCGATGAGATAAAACCGATAAAATACTGAAACCAAACACGTTTTGCGGATTAAGGGCCGGCGCACGGCTGATGGCGATCGGTGTTTGTTAAACGTGTTTGCCGCCGCTCGAGTCCAGCGCACGCGGCGGTGGAATACCTGCTTAATCCGATTAAATACGGGATTCGCCGTAAATTAATATGTTATTAATTTACATGTGGCTTACTGAATCTCCTGTTTGACAAAATATTTCAGCAGCTCTTATCCGCGCGGAGTCGGCTTGAACCGGCCCGAAAAAGCTTTATATCCGTGCAATAACAGCTTTTTCTGATCGATTTAATTTGTAACGATAAATGTGGTGGCGAACCTAATGAGGTGTCGGAAGGATTATTATATGGTGTACGGAGTTCCCCAACGTCAGGGGCTGCTTTGGGAATTGCAAGGTACTCTATAGTGAATTGGCGAATCTTCATCTTGCAAAGGCAAGAAAAACCTAACTGGCTCAACAGTCCAACCACGAAAGCCAGCAGCTGTACAGCTCCTTGTGAAAGAGTTCGTTCAGGGTAGTCCTGCAGCCTTCTGCCACCATTGCTGGTGAAATTACAGGCACTTGAGACTTGTCAACTTACGTCTCAGGGTGACGGGCGCAGTGACAGTGCCCTTCAGATCTTTGTGATTTAAAGTACTGAGTGGCACTGCAAGTGCTACGGACAGGCGTGTAACTTACCGCCAGGCGTACGACTTGTTCGTCCTGGCACTTGGTACCATAAAAAGCCAGCTTCGAACCTCGTCATGATTTAAATCGATGAGTTCTCGAGGGATAATTCTGTGCGATTTATGCCATAACAATTTTTTTGATAGTAAGTGATGGGACGAACAAGTCGTGCGCCTGACGGTAAACGACACGCCTGTCGATAACAGTTGCTGTGCCACCCGGAGCTTTAAAACACAAACAGCTGAAGAGCAGTGCCTCAGCGCCCATCACCCTGAGACTCCCGTGTGCCTGTAATTACAAAACTGGAACGCGGTAATGCTTGCATTACTGCTTGGCGGCAGAAATAGCTATGGTGGCAGTACTTCTTTGGATGAACTCGTTCACGAGGAACTCTACAGGTACTAAACAATCCTCAAAATGTCCAATACACTCTTTCTTTGCGCGAGACACCAATCGATACGCAAGCCATAGCAGGCTATACATTCCCGGACTGTCACCGAGGTTTGTCATTACACAAAGCACTACAGAACAAGCACACCGTCTGATGCTCTTGGCGTGAGTATGTCCTCCTCAATATGCGAAATCGAAACAACTGTAGTACATTTGGTGCGTGTTCTGTAACATTTTTGTACACGTGCACTATCTCGGGTTCTACACTTTTCCTGTTTAGTAACCAAAACAAAAATAATTATCGTTATGCACAAGTTCGGGCTATAAAAATACAAACGCCAATAATTATTCGCCCCAGAAACGGGCAGGTGCAAACGACTTAACTTAGATACATAGCCCCAAAGTTATGAGCCAAATGTGCTTGCTTTATGTCAGCACAAAACAGCTCTCGGCGCAAGAAAACTGTACTTTGACCTATCTTTCGTACCTCGGACTTTTGGCCGATAGTTCGAACCATCATAAAGTTCTACTACGGCAAGCTGACTGTGAATAGTTTTCCAAGATCAAATACAATACACCTATAAAAGGCTATAACTCATATTAAATGCATACAACACAAATCTACATAACTTCTAAGACAGAATGAAATCTATAGCATATGCTGCTTCTTCCGAAGAAACATTGAGCATGTGAGAAGAGATTGTTGGTAATGAGTTGGAATCTCAGTTTTTGTATATATCTTTTGCAATACCATCTAACGCAAAGAAAACAATTTTACATTATAATATAATGAAAAGTGCTCACTGACCCTTGCCATATAAGGATCTTTGGATCCCATATAAACTGTGTTATGAAGATAATTTTCCAAGTTATTAGCGGCGATACAGGGAGGCACGGAGGGGCTCGGATTAGAGGAACCTTTTAATGAAGGGACACGGGCCACTGCCCGCTGTAATTCCTCTCAATTAATATCATTAATTTCTACCTTGTAAATTACACATTAATTTCTAAGTATTCATTTTAATTTAAAGTTTGATTGGGTATTCAAACTGTTTTTTTTTATTTATTATTAATTAAATCATTTTACTAGAAATATTTTTAATCGTACTAGAAAAACATATTTGACAATTGAAAAATAAGCATATAAAATAAATAAAGCGATATTCAAACTATGATAGGTTTTATTCAGGTGTTGATGTAACTACGTGGAATAGCCATAAGCAAACACTTTCAGTGATTTCAGTTGCAGAGCTTTTACTCTGATGGAACCTCGTTCAGGCTCATTGAGTTTCAGCTGTGACATTTCTTTTAAGTATCTTTTATTGTGTCAGAAATGTAGAAACATTTCTTTTAGAAAAATTTCCACTAACTTGAGAAAGTAATTTATATTGTGCAAATGATATTCTATAACCTAACTTGCGACTTGGGGACGTCGTACTCATATTTTGTCTTTGATAATAATCCTTAATATTCTTGCACGTGTTTTTAATTATCCAATAACTATAATGATCAAACCTTCTGACTTTGATATGCGAGTACTCTCGTGCTTTCAACCCTTATAATTGATTGAAACTCAATTCTTGTTGTGACTTCTCACATGTCACTCGCTTAATACATTAAATGTTTTCATTAAAAACGTCATTGAAGTTGAAAATTCTACTGATTACATTTCTTCGCCGAACGCCGCCATTTTATACGTTCATACGTTTGTAGCGATATTCACCGCTACGGGCTAGACCAAGCCTCGAGCACCGCCGGCCAAGAACTTTGCGTATCTTGCTCATGATTCAGCGAAGAGAGCGAGGATTGCCACCCATCTATAACCAATCATCAATAGTAGCACATCTGGGCACAGGTCTGTTTCAATATATCTCGTGCTAATCAGCCGAAAAGAAATGCCATTATACATCTTTGCTTGTCTTAATGGAGTTCATAAGCTCCGTGATTGAGCTGTCAGAGGCCGATGACGACGAGCCGATAGACACGTCAAACTGTCGCAACTCGATGGGAAGAGTATGCT